ATGTACATATCTAATGTATCTATTATACACACACATTCAGTTGCTATTGCAGTACCTATTACTGGTCTATTAACTGGACTCATTACATCAATAATTACTAGCATCATTGTATACTGTATAATGAAGAATAAAGGGAATACACTAAGAGAAAGATCACCAGTAGACATTGGTCCAATATATGATTTACCAACTATCAGCAATGAACAACAAGAACAAGTCATTGATACTACACCTAACACTGCTTATGGACAAATTCAATAATACATTATGCATTCACAAGTTAAAAACTTTGTAAAATTATAGTAAGATCGAATGTGTGTGTGTGTGTGTGCATGTAGAATCAATAATTGGATCAAGTTTGAAGGTATAATTAACAAAACAAGTAACTGTAATAGAGAAATAATGATTATTGAATTATGAATATGTCATGCTTGCTTGTGTCTTTAATTTTCATTAAACATATGTTTTACAAAATCTATCACCTTAGTTTTACTGTTCCTTTTATTACACATTAAGGAGCTTACGGCCAGTATTGTTACCAAAAATAAAGAGGTCATTCATTCAATATCTTAATCAAGTGTGTATTTAATGACAATTTCATAAGTAAAATAATGATCATCACTACTATCCCACTAAAGGATACTCTGTTAATACCAGCTGGTGGGTATGCTGTTGTGTATTTTTAAACTGATAATCCTGGTTGGTGGTTCCTACACTGTCATTGTAGTGACCGAGAAGGAAAGGTAAAGAGAGGTCTCGCGGGAATCAACGAACGAATTTATCAATAAGTTTAAAACTTCTTCTTAAAACTGAAGAATACACACACTTAAATACACAGAAATCTATTGCATCATAATACATCACTGACACACATTGCATAATATTACATAACACTAGAAAGGAATCTTAATCAACAATGCATACATTATATAACCTACATAAGAAATGAAAATAAGTACAGAAATAATAATTAGGAAAAATGATAATAATAACAATACAATACATCCCTAGGAAAATAATTATAAATAAGCATACATTAACATTATCAGTTATAACAGTCATATTGAGGTACATCAATTGGAGGGAATGGGAGTCATCATTAATGAAGGAGGGAAGAAGACACCTGCTCCTTATAAAATGCAGAAATGTGGTAATTTTGAGCTAACAGTAGAAAGGAATAAAGGGGAAGCTGAATCCTAGTGGTGTTGATGGTTATAAAATTGCTACTATTGTACTAGGATCAGTCTTAGGAGTTGTTCTGTGTATTCTTTTCATTGTATTGTTTAAATGTGCATGCTGTACTAAGACTAGTAAGTATAGTAGAATTTATTAACACTGAACAGTTCGTTTGAAACTATAGTGTGATATGAACTTAAGCTTTTTTGTTTGATATAAACTTTGTAAGGATAATGAAAAAGAAACGAGAGAGAACAAAAGTCAGAACTAAGATGTATAGAAAAAAATGTAAGTACACTGTGACATGCACACCAATAAATTAATAATTTTGTTTGATACATGTTCTATATAAACTTCACATTAATCAAAAATGAAAATGGAATAAGTGTGCCAATTAATTGCTCACTTTTAAAGAAATCATACAGGTGGCAATAAGAGAGAGAGGAGAGAAACAGGATGCACACATATATAATACTGTACAAATAATGATTATGATGATTTATATACATTCTCTTGTCTACAAGGTGGTAAACCTTCAAGTAAGCTGCTACTTGCCTATATTGTTTTAAAGTAATGAACAAATTTCATTATCATTATTACTTTTATTGCTCGAGAAGTAACAGCACTTTTTTAAAATAACAAAAATGACAAGTAAAACGACAGTTATCCCTGCTACTACTACTGCTCCAATTAATACACCAACTGTCCAAGGAAGAACACAATTAGAACTAATGGAAGAAACTGTACTGGTAGGTGTACCTAGCTCTATAACTAATAATAATAATAATAATAATTTTTAAAATTATTATCTTAGTACATGTACTTACCTGATGAAACAGAACTCATTATCATTGTCGAAGGTGAGTATTGAACTTCTGAAGGACACACTTCAACTGGTAAATAAGGAATTTCTATTAGAAATTATCAAATATTAACATTGAAGCATCTCGTATTGCACTATTACACATTACACATTTATTATACAGATACATAGTTAGTCAGTAGCATTTTTAAATCCTGTAATTTAAAGAGTCAATACACTAATTATGTACCTATGGAACCATTCTTAACAGTAGACCCAATGACATTAGTAATAGTAACAGTATAATTATACACATCTCCTTCAGTGACATTAGTGAATATAAACAATCTTTCATGAAGACAGTTCATTGATGACTGAGTTAAGTTAGTTACAGTCAATTCACAGGACAATAAAGCAGGCTGTTGGTTGATGTATTTATCCTATAAAATATAACAATTGGCAAGATATTTAATGTTACACAGCTTAAGGAAATCAAAATGTACCAGAAAATTTAATAAAAGTTCAGTTTAATTTTGGAGCCATTTTTTGAAAAAACCATGGACTATGTCCTTTGCTGTGTAGAAAGTTTAAGCTGATTCCAACTTCAATTTTTTTAAGTTACGGCCATTTTAAGAAATAGGCCGATTTTTGAAAAATTTGTTGTAATAATATGATTTCTATTATTAATAATTCATTTGCCATGTACAGAAATGATTAATTAAGTTGATACCAATATAGCACAATTACCTTAATTATTATGACCAGTGACATGCTGTTACTAATAATAGCCTCAACTTCAAAGTTATACTCTAAAAATAGAATTGATTGTTTAATAGCACAGAGTAAACACTGCCAAGTTATGTTCCTGTCGTGACTACAGGAAATCCATTAGGAATAGGTAGTATTTGTAAACAACTGCTACTGAATAATAACAAGAGTATATAATACTTAAAGAGAGTATCGAACGGCCCTATACAAGCTGCTGCATGAGGGCGTATTTGCTCAAAGTCACAATCCCCATACTCCAGTATACTTTATCAATGAATATAATTATCGCATAGACATTGAGTTGCCATTGTCACGAGTTGGCAAGTGCTTGGGGCACAAACTC